ATTGAGAATGTGGCGCGATTATAGCTTCGGTAGACAAGTAGGGCTGAAAGTAAATACTTTTGCTGAGCTGGCTAATTTGGGAGGACATCTAAGACATATCATAATCCAACTGAAACCCTAGATCTTTAATACTTCTTTTTGAAGGAATGGCATGGTTATTAATATCAATTTGTAGTTCTGGGAGATTTCTAATGGCTTTTTTATTTACACTCAACATTATTGCCGTCTTGTCATCATTTAGTTTCAATTTATTGCTTGTCATCCATATTTTAAATTCTGGAACACATTGTTCAGTAGAGTCGACAAAAAGTGATATTTGATCGAAATCAATAGACCTATAAATTTGAGTGTCATCGGCATAAAGATGGTAATTCTCTTAAAATATCAGCAATAGGTTGTGTATACATTGTAAACAAGATAGGTCCAAGAACAGACCCCTGAGGAACACAAAATCTAAGCAAAACATTATCAAAACACATGTTTCCAACCACAGCTTCTTGTGTTCGATCTTTATAATATGACTCAAACCATCGCAGGACAGTACCCTTTGTACCAAAAGTAGCATTTAATCCCTCGACTAAAATGGCATGATCAATGGTATCGAATGCAGCCGAAAGGTCCAAAAGAGTAAGAAGACACATCTTTTTTCCATCAATATCTTTTGAAATATCAGTACAGACTTTAAGTAACGCTGTCTCGGTACTATGGTGTGCCTTGTACGCTGACTGATAAACTTCGCTTAGATTATTTGATTTAATACGATGTAAGAGTCTATTAAACACAACTTTTTCCTGAATTTTGGATAGGAATGAAAGATTTGAACAGGTCTAAAGTTTTTAACGTCCTTTTCATCAAGTCCAGCTTTTTCCAAAAGATGTCTAACATGTGCTGTCTTTTTAAAAAATTTGGTACTGTGCCTCTCACAATTTGGGTGATATGTGGAAGAAGGCTGGGGGCATGGGGTCTAAGGGGCAAGTTTTTTATGGATTATCTAATATGATCTTTTTTATTTCTTCTTCCGTGGCTGGAGTAAAATAGTCGATAACTAGCCCCTTAAATTGATGATAATTTGGGGCAATTGCGCACATTTTATCGAGTTCTTGCCTGGTGGAGGTGATTTTTTGCTTTGAAAAAAAAAGTCTGAAAAGCTACTACAAAGATCTCTATCGGTGCCAGGGAGTAATACTGTTCTGCTTTGGTTGCCAAGCAGTTGACTAGAGACATCTAAAAGCTCCTTACAAGTTTTAACATTTTCAATTTTTGACAAAAACAAAGTACGCTTGGCCTTGGTAATCATTTTATTAACAGAATTCTTCATAAATATAAATATTCCCTTATGCATTTCAAGTCGTGTTTTTCTCCATTTTCTTTCCGCTTGTCCTTTTCTTCTTTTTTTTAGCCTTTGTTTCTAGATTAAACCACTTAACAACAGGCCGATGAGATAATTTTCGTTTTTTAACAGGAACATGATCATCTAAAATATTCCTCATGATGGTGTTGAGGGTTTCTATGTTAAAAGGGGAACTAATAGCAAAAGCGTCACGAATTTCAATTTGAAACTTGTTTAAATTTATGTCGTTCAGATTCCGGGAATAAACTGTTTTTATTTCTTTCATTGGTCTTTTGATATCCAAATGATCTTTGCTTTGTCCAGAACGTTTATGCTTGCCTTTCACACAGTTCTTTTCGACAGGGGAGATAACCCAGTCTAGGATGTGCTGACTTTTATGTGTTTGTACTTGATGCACGAGTTGTTTTAAATCACTTTCTGTCAGCAGGTTTCATATATTTTTAGTAACAGGGTTCTGAGAGCTAAAGTGAAAGTTAGAATCGCCAATTATAATGAAAGGAGCACTTTTCATCGTCAGAGTTGAAATTAAATGTAGAAATTCTTCCATAAAAACGGATGGTTTGATATAATTTACTTTACTCGGTGGTGGACTGTATGTGCAGCAGATGGTAATGCTTTGGGACTGTAACTGGAACGACAGTAAAGCAGCCTCACATGAGTGACAGGGAATCTTTGTCACTGTAACTTGTGCTAAATTAGTTCTATAAATAAACGCTACTCCTCCTCCTCTAAGCCTGACACGAGGGAAAGACTTAATTAAATAACCAACTGGGCATATTGCTGATACTTCTGCAACCATGATTCTGTCATACATAAAATATCAAGGTTCATTTCAATAATTATATCGTTTAACTCGTCCGCTTTATTACGGCATGACCTGGTGTTAAGGCAAGCTACTCTGACACTTTGTGTTACTTCTTGCAAAAATTTCGACCGTCGATTTTGGCAAAGTTATTAATTCTAATACTGTTTTTCAGTCTGCTGCTGATGCTTGAATTTTCTATATTATAAACACTAAACACCACAAGGATTGTGCTTTGTTTTCGTCGCCCACCTCTTTTCCTTCTTCCGTTTTTTTTTGGTGTGTTTTTTCACTTTACTGGTATATTAATACATTTATAAACACACGAGCAAGAGCGGGGAGAACCACACATATTCACACACTTGTTCTTGAGCACAGAGTTGGAAACGACTCGGAGAACAGTGTTCACGTAACACTCAGGAGAGAAACTTCCTTTGTTGCTGACATTCGAGGGTTGACGAAGTGTAGACCCAAGAAGAAGAATAAATGTCCAATAGAAAAACACCAAACCATTTATGGCGAATTGAAAACTGATGATTTTGCTGAAAACACTGAATGTTTTTGTACAAATCCTCCATCACCACATACACTGTCAAATGGCGAATACACTGATATAAAAATCCACTATATGAATCACTTAAAATGCACTAGAAACTGTTATAATCGAGGGAGATTATGGAGCAGCCTGTCAGGCGCTCAACACAACTTGCTACAGTTGTTTTGGAAAATTTGCATCTTTTTAATCTTGCTTTGAGGCTGCCTAACTATTAACGACAAAAAAATAACAATAATGAAAAATCAAATAGAAATGATAATCAAAGTAAAGATGACAGTAATAAACATAATGATAGCGATAATGGTATAAGAACATGATTAAGCATAACTAGAAACATAATTATGAAATGCCAATGATGCTAATAATCAGAACAATAAGATGATGATGATGATGATGATGATGATGATGATGATGATGATGATGATGATGATGTCTTTACTTTTTTCTGTGGTTGACTACCCTGAAAAAGGTAGAATCAAGAATAACAACTCAAATTATGTACCACTACGTACAACTGTCTGTGTAACTGTCTGCAACAACAGCTACTGAACAACACCTGTCACAGACTGGTATAATAACAATGTAGATGCTGATAACATTCCGGTGACTGATACAAGCAACAAAACCCATCAATATCAAGTGTAGGACTTGAACTGTTATCGCTTGAGCGTGTAGACCAGATGCGACCATGACCCCATGATATTTAGTAATTGACAGGTTGACCTAAAAATAATCATACAGTGTCGATGGACTCTCACTGATTGAGAATGTGGCGCGATTATAGCTTCGGTAGACAAGTAGGTCAAACGTCAGCAGATTGTAAAACTGCTGCTATGTTTGTGAATAGAATAATTGGGTGGCAAGTGATTGAGCTCTCAGACTCGTAGGCCTAACCGTAAGGTCATGGGTTCGAATCCCGTCAGGAGCCTGACGTAGTGTCCTTGGTAAAGGCACTGTACATGAATTTTTCCTCACTTCGTCCAGTTGAAAATGGGTACCCAGCTATAGACATTGAAAGATCTTGTCAGTTTGTTAGTTTGTTAGTGTTTGAGCGCTTAATCAGCTGCTTGAAATGTATGCTTCCCGGGAAGCTGCACATGTTTCTGGGTGTTCTATGGTCTGCTGGGTGTGTAAAACGCATAGAGCTTGCTATCGAGCGGGGATATGAGCTGTACAAAATGCGCTTTATCATTATTATTATTATCATTATTATCATTATTATCATTATTATTATTATTATTATTATTATTATTATTATTATTATTATTATTTAATAACAATAGTTCCTTGACAGTGGGTTCCAATTGATTGTTTCTCACATGTTTTACCTTCTTCGGGGTCTTAGTATAAAAAAAATCAGCCTTTGTGCCCCTTTTTAAAGGGGTTAGATAAAGATATTTTAAAAACGGCATCTGTGATGTAGCACTTAAGAGTTTCTCTTTGGCTTTAAGTAAATACGAGTGGGGTTTTTTTTTTGGGGGGGGGGTTGGGGGAGGGGGGGGTGGTAAGTGTTTTACGGCGCTCGCAACTGCATAAGATCATATGAGCGCGCGGGACACATTAAACTTTTTCAGTTGGTAGGAAATTTTGAATTTTGCCTGGGTGGTGGCCGCAGCCTACCATTGTCGATTTTAAGACCACCAAGGTATCTTTAACGTGCGCAACTTGCACACGGGCCCTCGGACATTTTCCGACCTTGTCCGAGGAGGCTAGTTGTAGATCTTTCCTACCAGAAGTTCAGAGGTGTAGCTGAAAGATAGCTGTAAGAAGGAGTCAAAGAGTAGCAGTAGAAAGGCTGCAGAAAGAGGAGCCTAGAGGAGGGGGCAAAGGGGGTGAGGGAGTGGGAGCATAAAATGGAGTCAAAAGCAGACGACAGAACATTGCTGGAGAGCAGGAAAGGAGGTGAAAGGAGACATTTTTAGAGAAGAACTTTTTTTTCGGTTTCTACCCGGATTCGAACCCGGGACCTTTGAATGAGAGACAAACACCTTAACCTCAAGGTCTTGGTCGTATCATTTTTTTTTGGTATTATAACATACGTCAAGGGAGACAACACAATAAATCACATGAATGAAATGACTGGAAGGCTTTATAAATCAGAATTATGGCCTTTACAATTACATCGAGTAAACAAACCTAAGTCCTGTTACTTTCTAGATCTAGTTGTTATTTTTGATTATTGTTTCTTTTGTTTTCATTTTGTTTTTGTTTTGTTTTTTGGTGGGTGGATGTTTTTATTGTTTTGTTGTTGTTGGGTTGTTGTTTTTTTGTTTGTTTGTTTTTTGTTTGTTGGTTGGGTTTTTTGTTTCGTTGTTTTTTTGTTTTTTGTTTTTTTTGGGGGGGATGTCATTTTTCTTAAAACGATCTGGAAGTAAGTCAGAACTTTTATTTTTCTGATCCCTTCAATTACACACTTAGTATGGGGCTACTTTGAGAAGGCAGTATTGTTTCTGTGGGGCGTCCAAGGCTAAAACGTTTTATTCCGACCGATACCAGGGAAACTGATTAATAAATTATGCACATTTGTTTATTGCCTGTAAGTAGGCCTATCGATTAAAGATGAGAATCGGCAGAAGTGGAAAAAGCTGGTAGTAAAATCTGCAGTGGTCAACCAGACGACGGGATAGGTGAAGGTGAATGTGATCAGGGATCGTGCAACTAGATTCTGTGCCAACAGGTTACAGTATAAATCTAGATCATACGCCTACATATTACAATCAAACTGTAACAACTCATTCGACAAGCCATGTTACCTTTTTTTAAATGGAAAATAAGGTCTTATTTTTTATAACTTTTTTTTTCCTTTTGGTAAGTGTTTTTCGGAGCTCACAACTTCATCAAAAAAAAGCTTTAAATGTGTGAGATGAAAATGTATAAAGATAACAAACAAAGATGGGAAAAGAGGCGTCGAGATCACGTCCAATTTAGATATTTGGAGCATGGTTATTATGTTCCAAAAGCCTTTCTTGGAGTGTTTATTGGTCAAAATAAAAACTATCTGGCTGAATGGCTCAGAGATATGGAAAATAAACAAAGAAATCCAACGAAAATTCTAGTTTCCAAACAAAACAACGAATTTCATTCCTAAAACTGAATGAAGTAGTGACAAAAAAATGAAATTTTGGAAAGAGCTGGAATTGAAGACATCAACATGATCGTAAAAGGGAGAAGATAGAGACATTCCTGACTTATTTTGAGAAGGCGAAGACAAGATTGCCATATCAGAAATGATTTTGGAGATCAACTTGGAAAAGAACAGAGGTAGACCAACTGAAAGTTACAGGGAAACAATTAAGGATGAGGCAATCGCCCAGGACCTAGTTGTGCCGGGATTGGAAAAGGTGGCCATGCATGGACAGGCAAGCATGACGTCGACTGCTCTCTGCCTTATGTACATGACAGGTATAGGGAGAGGGTAAGTTAGTAGGCCTGAGTAAGATCACGCCTTGGCAATAATTAGGCTGTGTGACGTTGTTTCCTGTTGGGAAGGGGGACAGGGCTGTGGTCTACTTTTTTTTTATTTTGGTAAGTGTTTTACAGTGCTCACAACTGCATAAGGTCATATGAGCGCGCTGGACACACCAAACATGCACAGTTGGTAGGAAATTTTGAATTTTACCCGGGTGGCGGCCGAAGCCTACTATTATCGATTTTAGATCATCAAGGGATTTTTAACGTGCGTAACTCGCACACTTGACCTCCGAGATTTTTCGCCCTTGTCCGAGAAGGCTAGGTGTACATCTTTCCTACCAGAAGATCAGAAGTGTGGCTGAAAGACAGCAGTAAGAAGGAGCCAAGGAGTAGCAGTAGACAGGCTGCAGAAACAGCCAGGAGCCCAGAGGAGGGGGCAAAGGAGGTGAGGGGTGAGGTCAGAAAGTGGAGACGAAAGCAGACGACAGAACATTGCTAGAGGGCAGAAAAGGAGGTGAATGGAGACAATTTAGAGAAGAAAATGTTTCGGTCGCTACCCGGATTCGAACCCGTGACCTTTTATTGAGAGGCGAATACCTTAACCTCAAGGCCACGAGAGCCCCCTGTGGTCTATTGTTTGTTTTAGCAGGTGTTGCTGATTTGTAGTTGGTTTTTTGTTTTGTTTGTATTTTTCGTTGTTCCCTTTTTCTTTGTAAAGAGGAAGAATTTTTCTTTTGTTTTTACCTCAAGTATGTTCTCCTGATCTCTTTTGCAACAGAAAAACATTCAAATTATCGTCTCTCCCAGATAAGAAAACTTGTCAAGCATGTTTACCGGCATCCAAAAAATGTAGTTTTAATCATGAAGATTTTGAAGTACATGTAGTTAGATTAGACAAGGAAAATGATCATACTCCCCCCCCTCCTCCCTCCTCCATCCTCCACCCCAGGCCCAATTTTTCTCTTACTTTCAACTAAATCCTCGGCCCCCTTTCCTCCTGCTCTCTTCTTTCCCCCTCTATTCCTATGAGATTATCGACAGACAGTCAGAGCTGAAGTATCTGGGAATCGTCTTCGACAGGTCGTTATCCTTCAACAAGCATGTGAATCATGTGGTAACAAAGGCCAAACGAGGTGTTGGTGCAATCAAGACCATGGCGGCCGCTCTGATTCCGCAAAGAGTGCTCTTCCTGATGTTGCAGCTGGTCGT